TTTTAATATGCATAAATGACATTATCAGAATACCTCAAACACCAGATATAATTTTATATGCTAATGCCACAAACGTATTTTTTCTGGAACAAGCCTAGACGTACTTGAGCACGAAACCAACGCATGAATTGAAAATTGATCGTGGTGGCTTAGAGTAAACCAAATTCAATTAAACACGAAAAAAAAACAAAGCATAATATATTTCGACCACGAAATAAATGTATTCAGTAGGAAATTCAAATTCAATTTCAAAGCGAAATCATCGAACGTGTTATGTCACATAGGTATTAGCTGTTCTGTTTCATGAAACTCTAAATTGGTATTTCAATGTGCAGAGAGTAAGGACGGAAATCTTGCGATCTATCGTGATTTTTTATATACTTAAAAATGTGCTGCCTCACTGGGTAAAAAAACAACTATATTATACCTTAGTTCATTCACCTCTTCCCTACTGTCTCCTTGTATGGGGGACCACAATAAAACAAATATAGAAACCCGGCACATACTACAGAAAAAGGCCCTGCGCTTGGTTGAAAATGCCCCGTACCGGAGTCACTCTGCTGCGGTGTTTAGAAAGCACCGAATATTAACTATTGAAAATGTTATAAATAAGAAGTTATCTTTATTAATCTATAATCAAATCAAATTAGAACCAACTGTCTTTTTCAGTACGTATCTTTGGACAGATCATCCCAACAATTTTCGGCGCACAAGCTGCAGAAAGCAAAAGATACGCACCAACTAGGGCGTACAAAAATAAGATTATCAAATACCTGTACTTATGATTGACCACCCTGATCTCATTACCATTATTCTGGAAGGTATGTCTATGCAAGCGTTTAAAAAAAAAAAAAAAAACATAAATGTTTATCTGTTGTCCCTTCAAAAATGACACGTTTTTTTCAATATTATTATTTATTTAATTTTTGTTAGGCGCGTATGTTGCTTTTTATGCAGCATTTCTCTCCGGGCGGGAAGAAATATCTTTTTAGAGATCGCTCGCTAGCTGCACTCTGTTGTTGTGTGTGGCCCTTTTGTCTGCCGTGTTTGTGCAGGCCTAAAAATTGATGTGCGTCGTTGTTGTTTGTCCAAAGCGGGGGACATACTGGTTTTAGTTCAGTGTTTGTTCCTTTCTACTCATTTTTTGTACTGCTTATGGGATTTTACGTTTGATCTTTCATGATCAAGTAGTTTTCGTCCTTTGAAACTTTAATTTTGTCTGGCCGTGGAGGGGGGGGGGGGGGGGGGGGGGGGTGGCTGTCGCCTTGTCAAGCAGGCCGATGCCTTTTGTGGCGGCCCCCCAGACAACTGTATTCCTCGACGGTTGTCTGAATAAACTTTGATTTGATTTGAAGTCTGCTTTCTTGATATGCGGAACAATTATCCGCTTTTTCTTCAATGTCACGGTCAATTCCCGGCCACCAGACTGCACTTCGAGCTAGTGCCTTTATCCTTACAATGCCTGGATGGGTTGCATGCAGGTCTCCGAGCATCGTGCCTTGTGCCACTTTAGGAATCAAGTCTGCTTCGTTAGATGATGCATCCTTTGTAGTCGGATTGTTAATCGTTCCTTGTTGTGTACGGTTTTAATTTGTCGCCTTGTTTGTCATCTGGTCACCCCTGCTTGATCCAGCGCTTGACACGCGCAAGCACGCAATCTTTTCTTGTTGATCCCGTGATTTAGTAGGATTTCCAGTTTCACGGAAGCGGTTCCTAACACCCATACGTGTGCAACTGGAATATTGTCCGACTCAGTTGTGGGAACAGGCAATCGCCTGAGTGAATTAGCGCTTCGTATTTTGCTGCCCGCATGGTACTGTAGATCGTAGTGGTATGCGGTTAAAATCAGGCTCCACATGAGAACTCTTGTTGACACCATAGTTGGTGTCAACATAGTTGACATGGTGTCAACATGTTGACAACATGTCAACATGTCACATGGTGTCAACATAGTTGACACCATGTCAACTATGTTGACTGCTAGTTAAAGTCAACTATGTTGACACCATGTCAACATAGTTGACATGGTGTCAACATGTTGACAACATGTCAACATGTCACATGGTGTCAACATAGTTGACACCATGTTATCACTTCGGCCGAGTCACCGAAGCATGACTTACTGTTATCCGCCTTTTGTTTGTTTTATTAACTGCGTTGCCATTGGTCCGTGGAGCGCTATATATAGTTCCACGCGGGCCCGAAATAAACCGTTCATACCCTGGTAGCCGGCCTGCCTGTTTGGTCCTCGCGGTTCTGTCATACTGCGAGATGTCAAAGTGACAACAGTGGCGACGAGGCGCCGAACTCCGCCGGGCAGGAGGCAAGGGCTGCTCAAGATCCGAGACGGGGGCAATGGCGACGCCGACCAGCTTTCAAGTGCCTGCCTTCGACGACAGCAGAGATAAGTGGGACTCCTACATCGTACGCGTTGAAGCATACTTCGAGGGAAATGCTATTGCCAGTGGAAAGACCAAGAGAGCGCTGCTAGTTTCGGCACTCGGCACGCATACGATAGAAGTCTTAAGTGGTAGCTGTGCCCCGCGAAAGGTGAACGAGTTATCGTATGAAGAAGCTGTGGAATTCCTAGAGCAGCACTACGCGCCTAAGCGCAATGAAATAGCCGAGAGCTATAAATTTTTCAACCGCGTGCAACAACCAACTGAGAGCGTACGAGAGTTCGTTGTGCAGATCCGCAAAATTGCGGAAAACTGCAACTTTGGCATGAGCCTTGACCGGATGCTACGGGATCGAATTGTGTGCGGTGTGAGAAGTAGAGACGTCCAGCGAAGGTTGCTGTCACGGCGGGACCTTACGTTGAATGAGGCGGAAGAAGTAGCAGCCGCAGCGGAAGCAGCTGATTCCGAAGTAGAACAAATGCAAAGGCCAGAAACGAAGGAAGGGGCCATACACAAAATGGTGAAACAGCCGTCAAGAAATGTGTACGGGCGGGAGAAGCACCTTTCGGTAGCAGCGTGTGGTCGCTGTGGAAGTTCATCACACACCGGGGAAAACTGCGGCCACAAAACGAAAACGTGTTTTCGCTGTGGAAAGCAAGGGCACCTAGCCAGAAAGTGTCGAGCTACGGGGTATCGGGAGCGAAGCGGGAAACCTGATAAGGAACAGATGTCGTCGTTGTTGGCGGACGCGTCAGCAGAAGATGATGACTTGTGCATTTCGTCGGTGTACGCAATCAAGTCGCAAGCTGCAACGGTCTGTTTGGTTCAACCAGTCAGGAAGAAGCTTTGCTGGGGAGGCATTGACGTCAGCATGGAAATAGACACTGGCTCTCCTGTCTGCGTCATTCCTCGGAACGTGTATCTTCAGTGCCGAAACCGCTGGCCTAGCCTTGCAAAAAGTGAACTGAGACTGAATTGTTATCTCGGGAAATTGCCCATCTTAGGAGAGCTGCATCTGGACGTTGCTTTCCAGGGCCGCACGGTTCCTGCAAACCTGGTGGTGTTGGATTGCCTTGGACCCAGCCTTTGTGGCCGGGATGTAATCAACAAGTTGAACTTGCTTGGCGCAGAAGTGGCCTCTGTTTCCGCTCACTGAGACCACCAGGATTTGGAATCCCTGCTGAGCGACTTCCAGGACCTGTTCGAGCCCGGTCTAGGAGCCATCGAGGGGCCCCCCGTACATCTCTACCTGAAGGAAGGAGCTCGCCCGAAATTCATGAAGGCAAGACCCGTTCCTTACGCTCTGAGAGATAAGGTCTCTGAGGAGTTAGACCGTCTTGTTCAAACGGGAGTTTTGTCTCCAATAACGCATTCAGAATGGGCGGCGCCGATCGTTCCTGTGCGGAAAAGTGATGGATCCGTTAGAATTTGCGGAGATTTTAAGTTGACTGTGAATGCTGCCTGTGCTACTGAACAGTACCCTCTGCCCAGCATAGCAGACATTTTTGCGTCGATGCGTGGTGGGGCAGTGTACAGTACGTTAGATCTGCGAGACGCGTATAACCAGGTACCGTTAGACAAAGATTCCAAAAAACTGGCGGTGATTAATACACATCCCGGGCTCTTCCAGTACAACCGGTTGCCGTTCGGGGTTGCATCGGCTCCGGCCATTTTTCAGAGAAAAATGGAAACCATGCTGGCCGGCCTGCCAGGAGTGCAGGTGTACTTGGATGACGTGTTGGTGGCTGAGCAGCCGGGAACTGAAAATCTAAGGGCAGTGCTGCAACGATTTCAAGACATGGGTGTGCGGCTGCGGCAGTCGAAGTGTACGTTTAGGAAAAGTGAAATTTGCTACTTGGGCCACAGAGTGGACCAGGAAGGGCTTCACCCCATCGAGAAGAATCTGGACGCCATCCGACAGGCCCCAAGCCCTACGAACGTCAGCGAGCTCCGGGCCTTTATTGGATTGTTGACGTATTATCATCGGTTTTTGCCAAATATGTCTACCCTGCTGGCACCGCTTTACGAGCTCTTAGAAAAAAATAAAGTATGGCAATGGGGACCGAGACAACGAGACTCCGTGGAAAAGGCCAAGACAGTATTGCTAAAATCTCCCGTGTTGACCTTTTTTGATCCAAGTAAACCACTCCGTCTGGAATGCGATGCCTCGCCAACAGGAGTAGGAGCTGTACTGTCGCACCGATTGGGGTCTGTCGACCGACCGATTGCCTTCCGTTCCCGAAGCCTGACATCAGCAGAAAAAAATTATTCCCAAATAGAGAAAGAGGCACTCGCCTTGGTGTTCGCCGTGACCAAGTTCAGGGATTACTTGCTAGGTCGACAGTTCGTTCTCGTCACCGACCACCAACCCCTGGTGGGTCTGCTGAGAGAGGACCGGCCGATACCTCTGCTGGCATCGGGAAGAATTCAAAGGTGGGCCCTTCTACTCAGCGACTTCCAGTACAAAATCGAATTTCGCCCCGGGAAACTCAACGCGAACGCGGACGCCCTCAGCCGATTGGCCCTTCCACAGACCGAGGAGAGCCGAGAGGAGGAGCTGCCAGAGTACGTGTTCGCGATACAGTGCATGGATAAAGCGTTCCTGCCGGCACGGCAGCTAAAAGAGCTCAGTGCCGAGGACAGAACACTGACTACAGTAAAAAGCTTCGTAATGCGTGGCTGGCCGAAAATTCTAACCAAAGAACAGCATGAGCTGCATCCTTACTTTTGCAGAAGGCAGGAGTTGACTGTCGTCCAGGACCTGCTCTACTGGGGACAGCGAGTCGTCATTCCAGGGGCAGCCCAGAAAGAGATGCTCAATCTACTCCACGAGGCTCACCAGGGGGCGACGGCCATGAAAAGGGTAGCCCGGACGTTGTTTTGGTGGCCCGGATTGGACGGTGAGGTAGAACGACTGGCTCGTCTTTGTCACAACTGCACACAGGCTGCTCCTATGCCTCCAGCAAGCACGCCTGTTAACTGGCCAGAAACGGGAGAAAATTGGGCGCGCTTGCACATTGACTTCGCTGGGCCAATTGAAAACAAAATGCTGCTGGTGGTAGTGGATTCACACACTAAGTGGATCGAAGTATGCGTAATGCGCTCGGCCACCACTGAAGCCACCATAAGGGAGCTCAGAGAGATGTTCAGCCGATTCGGCTTACCACGTGCGATTGTGTCAGACAACGGGACTCAGTTTACTAGTCAGCAGTTTGGCGAGTTCCTGGAACGAAATCACGTGGAGCATTTAAAAACCGCCCCGTATCACCCACAATCTAATGGACTGGCAGAGCGGGCGGTCAGAACGGTAAAAGAGTCCCTAGCCAAGTTGTCAACCGGGGATTTGGAAGAGAAGTTGGCGAAAGTGTTGCTGTCTTACCGTCGCACTCCACTGTCGGACGGGAAATCACCGGCCGAGCGCTTACTCGGTTTCCAAGTACGCTCGCGCGTCGACACTGCTGTGCCGTCAAGACGTGTGTGCTCGCCTGACTTACAGGTCCCAACCATTCGCCCTCATGCTGCCGTGTGGTACCGGAACTTCGGGCAAGGTGAAAAATGGTTGCCCGGGGTGGTGGAGAGCAACCACGGCGCTCGCATGACTGTGGTATCTACTCCCGGAGGCAACGTCCGCCGTCATCTCGATCAACTGCGGTTACGGGAGGTCAAGGCGGAAACCAGCGAGGCACCCGCCGCCAGCGGTTCAGCAGTACCTGCACCCTCTCCCAGGAGCCCTGCTGACCAGTTGGCCCGAGCCGCAGCCGCCAGCGGTTCAGCGGTACCTGTACCCTCTCCCACGAGCCCTGCTGACCAGTTGGCCCGAGCCGCGGTACCTGCAGCCTCGGCCAAGAGCCCTGCGAACGAGTTGTACGGCGACGCCACGACCTCAAGCGAGCCCGCAGACAGCTGTGTGCCGTTCCAGCTGCGACGGTCCACTCGGACTCGGAAACCCATTGATCGCCTTCAATTATAAGAGAAGGAGAATTGTTATCACTTCGGCCGAGTCACCGAAGCATGACTTACTGTTATCCGCCTTTTGTTTGTTTTATTAACTGCGTTGCCATTGGTCCGTGGAGCGCTATATATAGTTCCACGCGGGCCCGAAATAAACCGTTCATACCCTGGTAGCCGGCCTGCCTGTTTGGTCCTCGCGGTTCTGTCATACTGCGAGATGTCAAAGTGACAACAGACACCATAGCTGGAATTTCCTTCCGGGGATTGAGCTATCCCGGCAGAGGCTTAAGGTCTGAGATTATGGTCACACGTCCAACATAAATGTATTGGTAGAATTAGTTTTTGCTTGCACCATACATGATTGCTAGAGCCTCACGATCAGTTCGCGAGAAAATTTGCTCGGCCTTGCTTTGGGTTATCAGTCCATAAGCGATGGGTGAACCTTGTCCGGGGGGGGTCACATGACTCAAAACAGCTCCTAGAGCATATGACGAAGCGTCGCAGATGAAAAACAGAAGCCTGTTGACATCGTAGTGAACGAGGATAGCTGTTGACAGGAGCAGCTGTTTTGCTTTGCGATAAATTTCATCTTTGCGGACGGTGCATGTCCAGCTCACTCCTTTGATAAGCTGTCGTTGCAATAGCTCCAAGGTGTGAGCAGCTTCTTTACGGAAGTGGTGGCAGAAGTTGAATAAGCCCAGAAACGACTGTATAGTTCCTGCTTGTTCTTGGGCTCGGGAGATTCTAATATGACAATGACCTTGTCTTCATTCGGTCGTACATTCTTTCTTGTCAATCTTGAATCCCAAGAACACGACTTGGTTTACGTTGAACGATCCTTTTGCTCTGTTAAGCCACAGCCCATCGTACTGTACACGACGTCGACGTTGAGAGGATGGCACACCGGGCGACGGCGGTGCCTCAATCTGAGCCCTGGGCCTCGGTTTTTCGGAGGCGGCAGCTTCTACTTTGACTGGGCTACCTCCTTGGAGCCTGATGCTTCGACACCAGGGGACCCCAGTGAGCAACAGTGCCATCATGTTCCTGAGGCTCCTTCATGCACCGATCGAACGGCGTGCCAAATCCCCATGGCTTGCTGCTGACCCGCCCCAACCGCCTCCATGAAATCTAGACTTCTGCAAATTGGACTGCCATCCTCCCCAGTACCAACAATCCATGTCGTCGTCATTATGCATGCATATACTCATCACATTATCATGTTCGCTAGACACGGCACCGAGTGCCTCCATGGTACGGGCTGCTGCCTTTTCGTGGCGCCGCGGCTCTCCAGAGCCAAATAAATAAAGACTAAAGACTATTGTAATGGCTACAAAACAGCTCAGAGTTGTTCATGTCAATCAATGGACTTCCCTCCGATTAATGTCATCTAGAATGATGAGGACCATATAAAGTTTAGCAAGTAGCTCCTCCATGTAACGCAGAAAAATGGCTGCTGAAATGGATACTCCAAAAGTTAGATGGTTTACTTTGAAGAATATCTGCGCATCATGATGGGGAAAAGTCTAGCTGACTCATCATCGACGGTCAATTGCAGGTAGGTTCGTGCAAGGTCAAGTTACTTAAAGTGGCAGCATCCAGCTAAGCTACTCAGCAGTGTTGCTGAGTGTTGGTGCGTTGTTGGTGCATATGCGCTTTATTTACCTAACAATAAGCGAGTGGAACTCTCTCCCAGAACAAGCAGTATCGTGTCAATCGCTGTAATATTTTTGTTCTTATCTTGCACTTGATGACGTGGACAGGAATCCTTGAAATTGCACGCTTATTTAGTTACTATTCCCTCTTTTTGTCGCGTCATGACTTCCAGCCAGCGTCATTCTTTCATTGTTGTATTGTTTTTACATTTTTCCACAGTGCCCGAATGATTCTTCTATAATATATTTTTAGGACGGGTTTGCAACGAATGCAGTTGTTAAGTTTTTGTTGTGTTCTTTTTATTTTCTTCCTTCAGTGTTTATCAAGGTTTTTGTTCATGCCCTCCCTATCATAGTCCAATGTAGGGACTGATAGTATTTGAAATAAAAATTTGCTCGCTTTCTGATGGAATAAACATGCTTGTGCAGGGCTGTGGAGACCCCATGCTTTAAGCATTGGAATCGACTTTTCCAAGAAAGGGCTCCTGGCCGGTTCTATTTCCAGTGCTGGTGCGTATTCGTTTCATTTGCTTGCTTTCCGATGGAATAAACATGCTTGTGTAGGGCTGTGGAGATCCCATGTTTTAAGCATTGGAATCGACCTTTCCAAAAAAAAAGGCTCCTGGCCGGTTCTATATTCAGTGTTGGTGCGTACCCACTTCATTTGCTCGCTTTCCGATGGAATAAATATGCTCGTGCAGGGCTGTGGAGATCCCATGTTTTAAGCATTGGAATCGACTTTTCCAAAAAAGGGCTCCTGGCCGGTTTTATTTTCAGTGTTGGTGCGTATGCGCTTCATTTGCTCGCTTTCCGATGGAATAAACATGCTCGTGCAGGGCTGTATAGATTACCTTTCCAAAAAAAAGGGCTCCTTACACGGTTCTATTTCTAGTGTTTGTGCATATGGCGCTTCATTTGCTCGCTTTCCGATGGAATAAACATGCTCGTGCAGAGCTGTGAATATCACATGTTTTAAGCATTGGAATCGACCTTTCCAAATAATAGGTGCTCCTAGACGGTTCTATTTCCAGTGTTCCTGCGTATGGTGCGTCATTTGCTCGCTTGCCGATGGAGTAAACATGCTGGTGCTGGGATCTGGGGATACGATATTCTAAGCATTGGAATGGACCTTTCCAAAAAAAAAAAGGCTCCTTGCTGATTTCACTTGCAGTGTTCATGCGCATGGCGCGTCATTTCTTTGCTTTCCGAAGCGCCAAACATGCGCGTGCTAGACTGCGGAGATCGCACGCTGGCCTGAGGGCTAGTAAATATGGTGTACAGTTTACCTGATGTTACATCATGGCGGTGCTGCGAGAGCACATGACTTGGTCTGCGTCTCATTCACACATACTCCCGTGAGAACGAGAGGCAGAACGAATTCACGTGCCAACTAACTTTGACCGGCTTTAACAGCGTTAGACTACTCCAGGAAACTACGCGAGCCCTGACAACAATTTGGCTTGACAAGGTGGCACGAAACGTTGACGCCGAGCGCGAGCTGTGAGGAAGGAACACTGTCTCTCGCCAAGAACAACAACTGTCAGGAAGCGAAATGAACGTGCTGGAATTCGTTGGCGAAACGCGCTCGGCGGCGACAACACAGCGGCCAGTGAAGGCTCCTCCCAACTGGACGCATGCCAATAACAGGAATCCAGCGTTGCAGGAATCTTTCGCTGCCCGTGTGCGCAAACCACGTTCACCGGCGTCGTACGAGTTCGGATCACGCCTCTTTCAAGATAGCTCCGGCATTCGCAATGCACAGCTTCCAAGTTTCGCCATTACTGTCTACTGATGTGTTTTTAGACTTACTGATTCGTTCGAATTGCAACTTGTGCGATGTGACACTGACTAGCGAACCGAACGTTCACGGTGCAAAAAATACTGGCATGGCCGCAAATGACGTCCCATGCAAGCTATGTATTTAGACCATTCCAGAAATTCGTTGCACCCTCACCGTTGCTTTAGGGGCGTTGTGACGATCCGACCATGTCCTCCGAGATTCTTGGCGCTCTACACTCTTCTCCACCCATACCATTCGTCAGGAAATGATGAGATGGAAAACAAAAATGGCTGGAGGTTTTTCCGCCGCGGTGCACTAGGTATAAAGGGCTTGAAATCATCATCACAGGGCTTAAAAATGCGCTAGTTTTCCCGAACTTTTGTTTTTAATTTTAGTTTGTTTGGAAAATACATTTTGCCAGCAGAACCACGGCAAAAAATCAGATGGTCTGACGGGGCCTCGCTGCCGCCATAAAACCCGTTGCATCTCACCACAACACAGATTACCTTCTTAAAGAAGCGGGATGGTGAAATCCGACTGTTGTTGTCTATCTTTGTGCGCTTAGTCTTATCTTTCGTTTTGTTCTGTCCTTTTTTTATTCTCTTTCAAGTGTTCCTTGGACGCCGTCTCGCCGTGACTTATTTTGAGGTTGGCAGGGTTTTGACGGCCTCACCCCTTTCCCTGCACTGTAATTTTCAGCGTCAACCTTTCCCACTGTTCACCGGTGATCACGGCCGGTTTGCTAGAAGCCGCGTCTTAGCAAAAGCTGGGAAAGAAAGCACTGCCTAAGCCAGCGTACGAGCTGAGCGTCACTTGAACCGCATCTCAACGCCTTCGCTCGCCTCAGCCTTTGCAGTGTCGACAAAGATACAAGCTCTGTACAGCGTCCATACATTTAATGTTTGAGATGCTCATGCTGGCTCTATATGAGCATCGTGCTGCTGAGCTCTGAAGAGGCTTTGACATACGCTACTTCTGTTGGGCGAACGAGAGTTTAGAAGGGCTACAGAGGTCTAGAATAGGGTAGTGGACTCACCGCTCCCGCTTGCTGAGGTGGTTATGTCTAAATTGAAAGATGGCGCTCCGGTCGACTCCTTTTGAAGCTTTCCCGCGCTCTTGTGCGATCGTGTGCGTAACAGCGCGTGTGTGCGCCGGTGTTCTCTTTGTCAAATATCTGGGAAGATTCCGAAGAATCGTAGAAATTGCATCGGGAAGCTGGGAAGAATTGTAGAAATTGCATTGCACGCTGAAGGTGCAACCCCACCCTTGGTTAGTGTGATTCTAAACCAACAGATGGCGACAGGATCGCATTCCAGACCTGTGAGAATGTGCAGGGGCGCAATAAATCGTGTGTGGTGGCACTTCCATATAGTGTGGTAATTTTATTTCTTCTGAAATCGACCATAGAGTTATTAAAATGTACGCTCGAGGTTCAACCGTGCTAGTGTCTATGCGACTTCCGTGACGCAACTTGAAGCTGACAGCAACCAGTCTACTGTTGCCGTAATCTTGTGCATTTCTATGGGAAAACGCGCGTGCATTTTGTCTCTTCGCCAGAAAATAAAATGAAACACTTTAGTCATTTGGGTCATACCGAACAGTAAGTATCTTGATTAACATTGTAAAAACGTTTTTTTTTTCAGTTTGCGCATTTTTCTTTATCAGTGAACGATGTTTAATTTCGCTACATTTCAGTTTCAAATATGTGTTCCGCAGCAGGTGTGTAAAAACAAGCGACGAT